TTTGGATAAAAGAAGAGAGATATTTAATGTAAAATACTAGTTTAAGATGCCCTTTTTAAAAGTTCATTTACAGCACCAGCTGCAGATAGGAGGTCCAGAGCTGCAATTAGGAAATCTCCACCTCTGCCTATCTCATACCTGCTAACAATATCAATTGCTTGCCCATTGTTATTTAGCAAAACAGAGGAGCAAGGGATGGGCATTAGTCTCCCACTGATATTTCCGGGTGGAAAGGGTGCTTTCCAATTTGCCTTTTCAGAAATGGCCGGGCATGAGTGGTGTGTTCCACATTGCACGCTGCCATGAATGGTGGGGGTGGGTGGGCTTATGTTCCTAAACTGTTCCTCCAAATCACTGAAGTGCTTTGAAATGCCTTGCTTTTCTTTTAAGTTCTGGGTATCTCAGCCCACCAACCTTTTCAAACTAGAATGCGCATTTGCAATAATGTGTTTTACTGGCAGGGGAGTTTCTTTATGGCAATTTTGAACTGTTTTCCCTTTTCTACTGCAAATAGGTTTGTAGAGACAAGAGGCAGAGCTGTAACTAAGGAAACCAAGGGGGGCATTGCTTTCCCGGTAAATCTTCACCAACAAGGTCAGAGAAATCAGATGTATCCATGTTAGATCCACCACTCCATCAGGTGCAAATCTAGGATCAATTCATACCGAATGGATACAGCTAAACAAACTATAATCAGTTATTTCTACATGGAATCAGGATGGTTAAATCATGATAAAAAGAGGATATTTGCCACTCTTTTCTATCTTTATTTGTGGGGAGTGGAGATTCTGTTCCCTGTTAGGAGCCAAAGACTTATTCCAGTGGGAGTCAATACATTCAAGACCCTAGGCAATTTGAATGGACTTCTTAACTTACTTTTTATTGTGGTGGTAGCAACTTACATTTTAATAGCAGCTTCTTCTCTGACTTTAATAGTCAAAATCAACACCTTTTAATGAAACTCACAGACCCAGGTCCATGCCACTTAGGTGTCCTTTAACAAGTACATTTTAAATAAAATATTATGAGGTTACAACAGCACGCTACTACAAACTCAGGTCATGCAACCATTTTTGAACCGATTAAAAAAGTTTCAGACAATTATCTGACTGGAAGTTGGACTACAGTTTGAAAACCTCTGTATTTTAGTGGACATAAACTTTCCCCAAATAATGGGAGATCAGGATTCATTCATTTCAAATTAAACTACCATGTAGTATTTAACACATCACTCTCTGAGCCTTGGTTTTCCATATGAAAACAGGGACAATAGTAACCTCTCTTGAAAAGGTTTTGTAGGAGACAAAGGCTGCAATCATATGCTTACTTACTTATGAGGGGGCCAAATTAATAGGTTTACTTTTGAGTAAACAGTTACAAGAGTCATCTACAAAGTATATCTATATTATAATACACTGGTGAAATAGAAGTGCTAGAATAATTCTAATTTATCTAACTAGGAGGAAATAAGAACTGTTTCATTCATGTTTGCATTCTCTGATTATTTTTTAAATTAGTAGAAGTGTCTATATAGTGGAAATGTTTGCGCATATGGATAATTAAAATATACTTCATTCCTTTATGTTTTAAACTCATTTATATTTCTATCTTATTCATATTTCCCCCTTTCTACAGGCTTCTAATCAGAGACTTGACATAAAAACATTTGCTCAAATATTATATGTATCCCACGTAAGATCTAATACCCCAGGGGGTCTGCAGAAGAGGAAAGCCATCAAAAGCCAGAAATGACAACAAAAATATTGTAAATACTTATTTTCACAAATCATATAATCAAGTCATCTTTCAAAGGAGAGAGAAAGAGAGAGAAATAGGATCTTTTTTTATCACACAAAGAAAAATGTGCTAGAATGTTTCTATTCTAAGCCAGTTAAGAATTATTGACAGTATTTACATTTATGAAAGTAGTCATTGACAGTATCAGTGTAGAACTCAGGTTTATTTCTCATTGGATTTATATAGGACTGTGTCAACTTCTAACATTTGCCAGATGAAATGAGGATTTATAACAGATTGAGCAGTCAGCTGAGTAGCATAAACAGTCAGATGTTTTCATAAGATCTGTTGACTAATATGCTTAGAACCCATATAAGTCAGTCCAGGAACATTTATCCAAAACCATGTAAGAGCCATGCTTGAGTTTGCACAGATTTCCCCCCTGATCCAGTGGGGTTTGAAACCTGTGGCAGTCCAGATGCTTTTGGACTACAGAAAAATGTTGTGATCTGGACCATCGCTTGGAGACATTACCTTTTCAGAATATGGCTCCCAGAATCCTCAGTCCAAAAAAAGAGAGAATAATGTTCCCATTGGCTCCATGAAATTTTTTTGAACAGGGGACTTCAACTGCATATTAAAAGGTTCATCATGTTTATTCAGCTGTGTAGATTTCAGCACGACTTACTTACACAATCTTGTATTTGACTCCTGAGAAATACGTCCCATAGTTCTAACTCCCAAGTAAGTCAATATACAATTGCAGCCTTTACACATAGGATACATGTGAATAATAAAAACAAAAATCAATACATAGAGTGAGAAGGAAACTATAGCACTTAATTTGCAAGACCTAAGCAGGGCTGTTAATGACAGGAACTTCTGGAAGTAATTAATTCTTGAGGTCATCATAAGTCAGAAAAGACTCAATGTCATGTATCCACACATACATACACTGACTAATAAAGCAGAAACATTGGTGTGCCATAGCAAAACCTTTTGGCCTTGACCTTCTGCTGCTTTGAATCAAAGTATGTTGTCGCCAGAGTGGCATGTTCAAAACCCGTTATTAAGAGATTTTGCAAGTTGACACCATGTTGTGTTAAGTCAATAATACCGATGGGTTTTTTTTTCCTTTCTAACATTCTTGCCTCTGATAGCATTTATATTCCATCAAGTGATAAATCAGATAGTCTTTCATCCTCTGACCTGGAATGTCTTGCTGTTGGTTGTTCTCAAGATACTCAAATGTAGAGTTCCAAAATTGTTTGTGTAGGTCAGTTGTTGTTTTGCCTGTGTACTGAAGATGACATTCTGAGTATTTGGACTCATATAAAGCAGATTGCACAACAGGTAAGTGATGTTCTGTTTAAGATAGCAAATTCTGCTCATCACAGTGCTTTCACAGCATTCTTTCCCATCACAACATAGCCAGCTGAATATATTCTGCTGTCTCGGGCAACGTAACAGACGTCTATCCATTCCATACATTGGCCAACAATTGAATCTTTGGGTCAAGCTATACATTACAGAGAACACATCTTCAGAAGAAGAAACACCTTAAGAGCTGAAAGTGTCTGATTTCTTGCAGTATGAACTCTTTCCACCTCTCATTTGTGAGCAAGCTTTCTCTGCTTTTCTGATGATCTTCTGGACATAATCTAATCTCTAGAAAATTTGCATGATTTCAGTTAGAATGTCATGTTATCTATAATGCATCATTTTGACCTTACTTCAACATGGATCATAAGGCAGCATCCTTTACAGAACCTCCCGGCTACAGGTTACCTTAATGAATACTGGGAAGGCCCTCCCCTCAGCATCTGCCTCCTGAGGGAACTATCTCATTTTGCCTAATATTGAGTTGAGCCTGGATCTTCAGTTTCCCACAAGCATTGGCGGGGTGATATAATGGCTGTCACAAAACATGCAATGTTTGCTAGGTTTTAAGGCTTGCCTAAAAAACAGATGCTGATTTTAAATATTAAATTCTGTATATGCTTATATTTTAATATTCTTACAGGTGTGAAATATGGTGCCTGTAGGTTCGGAACAAATTTCAGCTATTCCCAGCTGGCCAAAAAACATTTAACTGTCTGTCAATGAATGTTGCCCCTTTGGCTATTAAGGTAGGTAGGTAGTGGGCCAGTCAATTTATTTCAGCACTCGATGCAAAAATTGCACAAGTGGTTTTAATCCCACCCCCATACAACAGTAATACATTTATAATTTAAAACTGACTACACTTTCACATCAACAAAATTTTATTGCCTCAATTTCCCTTGCAGTTCCCCTACCTCAGAATATCTGATCCCAAAGCAGCTTGGGTGATCCTCTGAAACTCCTGATCTACTGTGACTAAGGGTCAAACAAGGCCTACAGATACCTTGTTATTAGAGATGAAATAATGTTCCAAAGATGTGGAACATCCGACAGACTTTTGTGTCCCAGTCCCATGAGACTTGCAGATGAGCAGGACTGGAGACCAATCCGAACACAAAGCAAGCTAATTGGCAAGCTGCTGGAGGTGTTGGAAAGCCCCTCCTGTCTATGCCACCTGCAAAAATCGCCCTTCCTGACGAGCGTTCACCATTAGGAGCCTAAAAGCTGGCCCCTAACTTTACCATCCAAAGGCTCTCTCTCACCAGGCAAGGAGTCTCGAAGAACCCACGGGGGCTTCCCCGCCGAGGCCGAGAACTCTGCTGCCACTTCTGGCAGAAAACACGGCTCTCTGACACTTCTTCATTCGTTGGAGGAACAGGAGGAACGGGGGGAGGGAGGGAGGGAGGGAGAGGGGCAAGGCGGCGATGCCAGCGCTTAAAAGACCGCGGCCAGGCTTTGTAGGGCATCTCCACGTGCTTCGCTAGGCAGAAGGACAGAGTTACCCGTGTCCCTTTCCTTCCAATCGCAGACCTTTCCGCTTACGAAGCCGCGATCCTCCCCCCTCCCTCCCCCCCTTCCGCCACCTACCCTCGCGGAGAATCCCCCTGCTTTCCAGACGGCTGTCTCGGAAGTTCACGCTCGGTGTCATCCGGGAGGGAGACACTTCTCTCTCCCCCCCCCCCCCCCGCCCTCAAATTCCCCCACTGGGCCTCCTTGCCCCACCACTCACATACCCTCCCGCCTCTTATGGACAGCGGCCTCCCTTGGGAACCCAGACAGGCATCGCGGGGAGGAGAGCAGGGCTGGCTCGTCACCTGGCCCTCCCTTGGCCGTCAAGCTTGGCCCGCCGCCGCCGCCGCCGCCGCGAGGGTCGACCGGGACCTCAGAGAGGGGGGATGCCGGATTGCCAGGACACCGGGGCCAAAGGAGACCCCCTCCACACGAAGATCTCCTTCTCCATCTTAGATATCCTGGATCCGCAGAAATTCACCCGGAAAAGGAATCCCCCGCCGGCGGGGAGGACAGAAAGCCTCTCCTCCCCTCCGCTCGCGGGCCAGCGGGAGAAAAGTTTGGCCAGAGTTGAGCGGGAGCGGACGCCCGGCGGCAAGCGGAGTCAGCCGGCGGCGTGTACCGGTAGGCGACCCCCTTCCCCTTTTGATCGGATCCGGGCGGTTTCCTTGAGCTGGCTGACAGGAGTTGCGAGTCGGTCGCTCGGGTCCTTCAGCCACAAGAGATGCCTCCGAAAGGTTGTTCTTAAAAACCGGCACCTTCCAGAGGCGCAGCCGCCGAGCCGCGCACCGAGGCTGGCTGGGACATCTCCGGAGGGGGCTTGCTTGGCTGTTATGGTGCCATCATAGTCCTCCTTTCGGGGTCGGAAGGGCGGGCCCGCGTCTCTTTTGTCAAGCAAGTGCTGCGATCCACGGCCACGGCTAACCTCAGGGTGATCCGTAGGCCTTTCCGAGGAGTAACGGGGTGCAGCTGCGTGTCTCCTTTAGCGCGAACAAGTGTTTTCTGGCTGCGACCTAGAGCCACCCAGGGGCAGAGTTTAGGCTCCGCTAACGGTTCTTGGAGGATTGTAATCCCGCATTGGCTTGAATGCCAGAGAGCGGAAGGGAGCCTTTCGAAAGAACACTGTTTTGACTCAGTGCCTTGAATTAAAACTTCCCAGCCCTAAACTGGGACGACTTTAAACGACTTCAGAGTCGCTTCTTGACGAAAGATGCGCGGGCTACGTGCGAGAGCTGCCGCGCGCCGGGTTCCCTTTGCTTTAACAGGCAGAAATTCAGTCGGTGAAGCTGACAGCGATGGGAACCTGGATTTCCACCTGTCGTGCACCCATTAAAGACACAGGAGGTGGACGGGGCGCGGGGAGGGCAAGGCTAGAGACTAGTGAAGACAAGTAAGGCTTTCTTTGAACCTTTGGGAGTAGCCCTTCCGTCCCAAACACGTTCCGGGGCTGAACCTGAAGTTTAAACTCAGCGCGGTTCGTAGCCGGGGGCTTTTCAGTCCCTCCCTTTCTGTCCCCCCTTTTTGATCGCCCTTCGCTGAAATGGATCCGTCGGCTCCTGTGAAAGATGATTTCTCATGGGGGTATAGGAAGGGCTCGCCCCCACCCCCAAACTGGAGCGAGAGCCTCTTGTCTCTCCTGGGAGGTCACGCCAGGGAAAAGGGGTCCCACTTCGGAGCCTGCCTTTCCCCTTTAAGACGTGGCGGGGAAAAGGGAAGGAGCGGCAGAGCTCGCCCCCACCCCACCCCACCCCCGGGCTGGCCGGCCGGGCTGGTTTTCGGCTCAAGGCTTGTCGGATGGGCCTGATTGGCACCGGGACGCGCCAGGCAAAGGACAAGCGAGATAATTGTTCCTGCAGTCTCCCCCACCAGAGGATGCCTCCGTTCCCCCCTTGATCGATATCCCATTACCGACTCCGGCGTATCTCCTTCCCACAGCTTGCAGGTACCAACTTCAAAACCGCTTCCCCCCACGGTCTGATCCTAATATTGTTCGATTAAAACTTAGCTTTAATAGATGACATCTATCGATCCGCCCCTTCACAAATCTGAAACTCTATTAGTACGGCGGGGAAGGAGAAGATGGGAAAGAGCGCGGGGGGAGGGAGAGGGAGGACGAAGGAAGATGATGCATTTTTCTCTTTGAGAGAAATTTTTTAAAAAAAGTTTTTTAAAAAAATCCGTCGCATTTCACAGTGGATTCCTATACTTGTCACTTTTGAGGCGCCTACCGTTAAGTTTAACCGGACTTACGCGGAAGTACAGTAATTGCATATAGGAGGATCCTAACCCATGCAATTTTCAGCGGTTTTAAATCCCCCTCCCCAATAATTCCCCGGGTGTCCGAAAGAGATTGTTCTATGGGAAGGGGCTGCTTAAGGGTCCTGGACGTTTCGACAGGATTAATTTGTACGTCGCATGAAAACGGACGTGTATTCTCCTACATTGTGGTGATGTTGGTGGATTCACAGCGATTTAAAAGAAAATCCTTGATTTGATTGGGAGTGAAGTCCCCCTAACTTTTAATAGGCAGAGAGGGAAAAGGGGTTTATCGATATTATTGAAACATCAGAAGTCTTTATAGCTGCATTGTAAATATCCAGATTTTAGCTTGCCTACAAATCACGCCCACCTCTTCCAAGAAAAAGTAGGTGCAAAACGAATTTCGGAGAGGAAGCGTTTTAGATGTGTAAGACTGAAAGGAAACGTATCATTCATTGAAACGTTCCCCTTGTAAACACAGTTCCTTTGCAGTAAACGCCGGATTAATTTTGACAGCTTTAACCTTCCGGCAAGTAGGCTGAGAACTACTACAGTACTCTCAAAATAGGCTCTTTCAAGTTGCCAGTTGATGGTTTTTATACAAAAACCGTCTGTTCTGGAAGTCCAAAACACACACACGGCAGCATCCCCTGGCGACCCTGCCCCTCTTCTGGGCGCCAGTGGACTGCAGGCTGGCTGGGTCTGGAGGGGAAAAAAAGACACTTTGCATATGCTCATGAGACCAGGTTAAGTAGTGTCTTTTTTATCACTAAACTGTAGCTTCCTCCTGCATTTTTTTAAAAGACCGCATATGTGCTCAAGGAGGTTGAATCGACGGCTTTCAGTCCCGTTGCTTCCCGAGCATCCGCCTGTGTTGAAGCGAAGTGATGCCTATCCCGTCGGAGAGGATCCACTTCCTGGGCGGGAAATAGTAGTTAGGCGGCGGCGGGGAGGGGGGGGTAGTCCGGATTGAGTAGGTCTCCTTGTGTGTCAGCTTGATCGGCCTGATTTGTGTCTCCCTTAGATGGAAGCGGCCTCGACGAGAGCGAAGCCGCCACCGCCCTGGAGGCGCCCGAGGAAGACGAGCCAGCCCCGGCCAGGAGTCGTTTCGCCATCCCTGCCACGGGGGCGGCCTCCCCAGCCTTCCCCTCGCCCGACTTTCCGGCCTCCTCGCCGTCGGATGTGGAGGAGCCCGGCTCGCCGCCCTCGTCCAAGCGGCGCCGGGCCGAGCCCAACTGCGCCAAGCCCCGGCGGGCCCGGACGGCCTTTACTTACGAGCAGCTGGTGGCTCTGGAGAACAAGTTCCGCGCCACCCGCTACCTCTCGGTGTGCGAGCGCCTCAACCTGGCCCTGTCGCTCAGCCTCACCGAGACGCAGGTCAAAATCTGGTTCCAGAACCGAAGAACCAAGTGGAAGAAGCAGAACCCCGGCGTCGACGGCGCGGGGCAGCCGGGGAGCAACGCGGGGTTGCCTGGAGGAGGAGGAGGAGGAGGCGGCGGCAGCCCTAGCCCGCCCGGGCCCAGCTCCTTGGCCTACCAGACTTTCCCCTCGTACGCCTCGGCCAACGTCCTTTTCCCAGGGACGGCTCCCCTGCCGCTAGCAGCGCCTGGAGGGGGACCCTTTCCCTCATTCCTCAGCCCCACCTACCTGGCACCCTTTTATACCCCTCACCTATAAAAGGGGAGCCATTTCCCTTCAACCGCCCAGACTCGTTCCTGTAATGAGTTGAGAGAGGAAAGGGCTGTGTGGTGCGTAAGCAGAGAACGGAAATGGAGGGAATCTTAAGAAGAACAGTGTCTTCCACTCTCTCTGCTCCACTGACTGGCCTTCCCTTCCAAGTCTTATTTAAGAGCATGCCCTCTCATCGCCCACCCCCATGGTCACGGTTATCCTACTCAGAGGTGCTATTTGAGTCTTGACTTCTGTGGGTGGGCAAAAGAGAACATGCACAAAACCCACTCACCGCACCCCACCCCACCCTGAGAAAAAAATTAGACTGCATCTGTTATTAAAGTTTCTGGAACTCCCGTGGAAGCAGAGTTACTTTTAATCCAAGGATGTGGACTGACTTCCGCCTACCCACCCCTTTAAATTTAAACCAAGCAGGTGTACAGTACTGTACAACATTTGATGTTTATATGACTGATTCATGCCATTCTGTACAAAATGAAAGGATTCCACAATGAAATCCATTGTGTGGATTTAACAGGTTTGCCTCCTTGTCCCTGTAGTCTTCCTCTCAGCCATCCCAAGATGTGCCCGGCCAGTGGCATTCGATGGTTGGATTTGCTAGATAATGGGACCAACACTGCCTGTCCCTGCTGAGACCGCTCAATTCAGTTCCCAGCAGAAATAGAGGATGTGTGAAATAGTGGGATATGCAAAATGTAGGCTGGAAATGGAAACACTATTTTAATAAAATGTGCATTCCGGTGTATATGTACGTTCCTGTGTACTTCACAACTGCTCTTGTCGGGTGAGTCTGAAACCACCAGAGGGCATCATAAACTTCTGTAGGGTTTAAAACCCCACCCTTTACTTACGCATAACCACAAGTAGGACTGCAGTGTTCTGTGGATCTCACTCTCAGATATGTGTAAATTAGACTGCACTGTCACTGTGCTGAAGGCTTCGGCCAGTTTGTGGTAGTGTACAATACTTGGGCATCTGGTGGTAGGAAAATTTGGATTTTCTTCCCATCCCTCTTCTGCCACAGCCCAAAACACTGGCTCCAAGAAGTCTCCCAGCCCCCCCCCCCCCCCCCCCTGCTCTACAGATGACAAGATGTGGGTGGGGTGGAATTGCCAGTTCTACTGAAATCCAGCAAAGTTACAACAACCTTTGGAGCAGATTTGGCGGGGGGGGGGGAAGGCACCAAAATAGGGTGCATAATTGAAAACTGCTTGCCCCCCTTCAAGTTCTGCTGGTAGAAAGCTCTGCTGAATCAAAAAGACTTTCTCCAGCAGAGAAGGCACCAAATGTTTATAACAGGACCAATACTTTGCTAATTAGTGGTTAAGGAAATGTGATAAATGAGTAACCAGATACAGTAGTACTGCTATTAGACCACCTTCTTATTGAAAGGATGTATCTACAACAACTTCAAAAATACTCCTTTTATGTTACTATACTGTAGTGTCATTGTCAGTAGCCTGCTGATCAGCTCAGAGTTAGGGTAAATGAACTGCACAGGGAGCATGTGTGTATTGTATCCAAACCAAAAACATCATTAAGCCATAGGTTACACTCTCTTGGATGTAAATAAATCATTTCCAGAATAAGGCAGTGTCAAGTGATGATGCATGATGGGATATGTGTTAAAAATACTGATGTTAAAAATACTGATGCTGTCAAGCCATGGTTTTTAATTTTGATCCTCAACCAAATCAAAAGTCTGGCAGCCAGGTATTCTAGAAGACATTGGTTTCATTTGGAAGAAGGTCGTCTTTGTTGAGGATCCACCTATTGTTGATTTTTTAAAAAAGAATAATGCTTACTTGTGTCATTGTGCTACTTTGTTCCAGTGTTTTCCCAAGACAGCTTTCAAAAATACATGCATAACCCCCCTCTGGTTGTTTTTAGACCACTGGTTCCCAACCTTGGGTCCCCAGATGTTCTTGGACTAAAACTCCCAGTAGTCTTCTCCATGAGCTTTGCTGGCCAGGATTCCTGGGAGCTGTAGTCCAAGAACATCTGAGGATCCAAGGCCGGGAACCACTGGTTTATACCTCTTTTGGAGAGTGAACAATGGCTCCATCTGAGCCCTGAAATGGAACACTCTCTTCCTTAATAACAAAATAATAATAATAGTAATCTCATAGTAACTTTAAAACATTTTCATAAAAAATTATTTTGACTTAAATTTATATGAATGAGATCTGCCTTTGCTGGGTGCTTTTAATGCTATCCCCAAATGGCAAAGGGGTATAGGGATCATAGGTGGTGAGCATTTGACACTGTAGGGCTGGATTTCAACTAAAGTGGTGACTCGCATAGCGAGGTTAATCCGTTCTGGATTAACCTTCGCTATAGCGAAACATCGCGGAATGGATCAAAAAAACCCGTTTAATGCGTTCCAAATGGGCCGAAAACATCAAAAAACCCCATTGGGCTGAAAACTCACCGTTCAGCGATGCTTCCTATGGCTGGCAGCCATTTTCGCGCCCTCGTTAAGCGAGGGGGGGGCGCGAAAACGCGCGTGGCCATTTCGGCGCTTCCGGTGGCCATTTTGTCTGCCGAACAGCTGATCGTCGGGGCTTCGTTTTGCGAAGATCGGTAAGCGAAACGCTTGCCGATCTTCGCAAAGCGAGTTTCGCCTTATCTAAACAACGTTGAGCGATCGCATTAGCGATCCCAAAAAAGGGATCGCTATGTGATTTCGTCGTTGTACGGTGCGCTCGTTAAGCGAGGCACCACTGTATAGTAAACCCTTGCCAGCATGGCAAGAGGCCAAGTATGGTGAGGGTTATAATTTAATACTTGAAGGCCTGCAGGTCTCACAGCCCTTGGAATAGTTAGAGTTAATGTCGCAGCTAGGGCTGCAATCTTATATGCATCCATCTATCAGTAAACCTCAGGAGATAGGCACAGGGTTACATTGGAAGAGACAATGCTCTATATTTGGGAGTTCCCCAGCCTAAATTTTTTTGTTAACTCATTAGATTATTTTAGCCCTTGTCTCTGTGCATCATTGTCTCCAGATTGAGGTCAACTCAAACTTCCTTTTAGAGGTAAGGGGAACAGAAGAAGGAAGTGAAGAACAAAGTAGGATATGAGTAGAAGGTAGTGTCATGTGAAGGCACCGGTAACATCCAGTGCCTGCAGCAGAGTGACAGTGTGACAGAAGTCTCATCTGGTTCAACTTGAAAAGCATCCTCATGTCCAACATGGAGCAAAAATATGCTGATTTTTAATAATATTTTTGTAAGGATCACAACAGGATTATACATGCTCTGTGCTTTGGAAATTTGAAAGCGCTATACAAAAGTTTACTATACCATGCATGAATTCAGAGATAAAACTAATATTGTGGTGGTATGTGAGATCTCAATGAAAAATGCAGTAGACAGGATGAGAACTGTGACCTTTCCCAAAAGAGATCAGCCACCGTACTTAAATTCTTTACAGATGAATTATGCATAGATATCTTACTGAACCGCTTCCTTTTGTGGCCTTTGATTTTGTTCACATCTGTCTTCCTTGGCCCACCCTGTATATATATTTTGTCAATGAGAACAATACTTCATAAGTTGGATGATGTGGATTCCTATCCTTGAAAAGCAAACCCCGTTATGTATCCATTTGTTTTTCCAGTACTCTGCGATCTGTTGCTTTTGCTGCAAGGGGCCCTTTTCCATAATAATAAGAAAGGTAATCCTTAATGTTAATTCTTACTGTTTTTAAACATTAAAAAACACAAGAAAACAAAACAAAAACACACCCTGTGCCCTCTCATGGACAGTCCAACAAATATGCTTATTTAATTGGATTTTGTTACACCAAGTTAATGTAATTTTTAATTTTTTACCAGAAGATTAATATTTACTTGAGTCTATGTTGGGAGCCTTGTGACTGAGTTTTGAACTTGTGTCACACATTGAAAAATAAGGTGCTCTAGCCAGTGCACTTCATTAGTGAGTTTCAAAACATTTTATATGAATCATTGTGTTGGTCTAGTGGCCAGAGAACTCAGCTAGGACCAGAGAGACCCAGGTTCAAATGTCTAGTCAAGTAGGAAAACCACTGGGTGATTTTAGGTTACATGTTGGCTGAAATCCTGTTGTTTAGCATAGTAAGTTACAATTACAGTAAGACCACTGAATCTATGGAACTTACTGAGAAGTTGACTTCCCACCGATTCAGTGGGCCTACTCTAGCAGGAACTTACTAGTTTAAGCAACAGGATTTCAGCTACTCTTTCCTAGTTTAATCTACCTTGATGTGAGGATAAAATTAGCTGGCAACAGAAACATGCTCATCACCTAAGGTCCTTAGCAAGATGCAAGTGCAGTAAATAAAAATAAATTGATTGCAACTTGTAGGAGGGAAAAGACAGAATAGACTCAATGAATCTAGCCACATTCCTCTACTACTGCAACTAGTATATTTATACCAGAGTGCATACTAATACTACTAGTATGCACTTCTGGTATAAAGTATATTATTATT